AAAGTTTCTCAAACAAAGAAGTTTTGAATTGGCTTCAATGTCTGGTCGTTTTGAAATCCGTTTTGATGAAATGTACTCAAACGTGCATCGATTCTCGCGATTTTCACTACTCTGCGAAATTATAATATGTTACTTTGAAAGTAAACTCTTCTTAGACTAAGAGAGCAGAGGACCAAATTCATTGCTCCAGAAAGGGGCATTTAAAATTCTCTTTCCGAAATGTTCTAGACCACGTGGATACTAGATACCGAGTAGTTTCACGGTACCATAACGGCGCAGTGGTGAATTACAAACTATTCCGGAGTCGCAGCTTTATGAAATCGCCAAACCCCCTTCCACATTACAAATCTTAGACGTCGCTAAATTCCCTGAAACTACCGAAATTGAATTTCTAAACATTTCTGGAATCGTACCAGAAAACTTCCAAATTCGAAGTTACGAGTATGCGATAAAAAAGACACTTGAAAACAAAACTAATATCAGTCGAAACGTTCAAATAAAGCGGTATCATCAAATATCTATTAATCTGTAGAAAATTGATCAGTAAAGTCAAGATTGTTAGAATTTATAATTATTAATACGTTGGTATACGCAGGAGAGAGTTAATTTTTATTATAATGGACGTATACATACAAAATATAAAATAGGAGAGAAGTCTAAAGTAGACGAAGGAAGTGGAGAGAGGATGAAGGTGAAAGGTATGGAGGAGTGAGCGAGTAGATGAAAATTGTAAACCAAGTCCATTTCAGAACCAATAGGCTCAAATGAAGCTATACATTATTATATAGAAAATTGATCGATATTTTATTTAAAAAATAAATTTATTGTACGACAGATGTGTAATCATCTTGTGGCTAAAAATTAAATTACGAGATATGCTATTTTTATTATTAATCCCTCAATTGTCACAAACGCCGAGGGTATTCGCACGCCTGTCACGAGTATATAAACGGGGGTCAGCTATACATACGTGCAATATAAGCGACTCCTTGACACGTGTGATCACGGTGACCGCGTGTGGTTTATGGCCGTTCATCTACTACCAGGCGGAGCCAGGATGGGCGATTCTCTTTTAAGGTTTTCGATTCATAAAATACCCTACAGCAAAAATCTTGCTATAGAAAACGGTTTCGAGTTTTATCGTAATTTCCTTGACAGTTAAAAGAATGTGAGCAAGAACGTTGGAAGGATTTTTCTACCGAGGGAGATAGGGGAGGTGCGAATTTCTACCAGTGGCGAAGTCGCTTAATTTACGAGACGAATTTTCTCTTGTTTTTCAATGCGCGATAACCAGTTCCATGGGCGATTAAACAATTCTTAATTATTCGATGGAGATAACACCGTTACCATTTATTATGTTGTTAGCTGGTATTATCAGTCGGTACTGGATAATACACGAGACTCGTTTTTAACGGTTAACGAGGTCTTAGCGTTACACAAATAAAAAAAAAGAGGGAAGAACAATGTAAAAAATAGAAAAGGAAGGTGAAAAATATTGTTTCGTGGACAGTTCCCTATTGTCTCTCAAGGAGAACGGTAAAACAGAAGATAAGACCAGAGGACTCTCTTATTTCACTCGATACAGCTCTCCCGTGTAATACCGGTTATTCGCGATGTTTAAAGAATCTTCTCGCCTTCTTCTAAAAAGAAAGGAAGTGCACAAATTTCTCCGCTCATTTTCAGCGGAATGTTCGATAATGCAAAATAAATACAGGATAAAGGAGCAGAATAGACTTGCCTCGGATCAACGGAGCAGCCGTGTTATGAAAACGAATTAATTAGATAATTCCTATAAATATCTCGTTGAAGCAACAAACTGCGCGAGCTGGGAGTAAAGCTCCAGCGGCCGTGTTAGGTCCGAGTTAGGTCGTGCAAGCTCTAACACTGGATTAGATTGGGATTAGCTAATACTATTTGATCTCCCTCGCGCAGCGATGTAATCGCAGCTCCTAGAGTAAATTAATATCACGGGGGTAGAGATAAGGGAAACGGGTTGCAAAATTATTGCCGTGTTCTTCTTAAAACAAGTATAAAGATTTAAAACTCTTGATGAAAGCTTGAATACAAACGGGATCTGCCAAACTCGAAAAATCAATTTCTATTTATAAACAGGCGCAGAAAAATAGGCGTTGAAACTATGAATCAGGCCAAGAGAAGAGTAATGATTCACAGTTTGGTAGAAAGTTTCTTTCGCTCAAACGTCGAATCGTAAAATGTACTACGGACCTAAATCGTGAAAAAGCGTGATCGGGTCTCGTGTACAGGAATTCGAGTTCTCCGATTGCCCGCTGAAACGGAGCGCGGAGAGGTGACACGGAGGAGAAGAAATTCGCGCGAACAAGGGGCGGAGCAAGAAGCATGGAGGCGCGAGGTATAATTTATGCGATCATAGATGTAATCGCATTTGAATATTCACAACTATGCGCGTCGCTGGAGCTGGTAACTTTATAATTACCAACTAAATTACCTTTCCTCCGCCGCCTTCCGACCCTTCTTCCTCCTCCTTCCAGTGTTTCCAGTCCTTTTCAAGAGTGGTCGCGCCGCTCCGCGCCACGTACGAGCAGGAACCGACCAGCCAGCCAGCCAGCCCTCAGGCCAGCAGGGAGGGAATTTATTGAAAATTAAGTCCGATTTTATCGTGCGGAAACTTTCCAATTTTCCACGGTTACTTTCGCGTTCTATTTCAACCGACTGGCGAGGAATTTGCGAGAAAGCCCGCGCTTAATAAACGTCACTGCCTGATTATGCCTTCGAACGAGACGAAGGTGCTCTTTCACCCCTCGCGGGAGAGGTCGCGACTTTTTAATTCTCCAACCGCGATTACTTTGTCTCGCTGTATTATTACTTACTTTCGCCTGACAATTTCAGTTCTACAATTTTTTAATCTCGCACAACCCGTGAAAAGTTGTATTATTATTCAGGTGAATTAGTTTTCGTGAATAGAGGATAAAGAAATACTTTTTACAGCATGTGTAAATTAATAAAATAACGACTGAAGCAATATACATATTATCTGAGATAATTTTTTCGTATGCGACGATATAATCGATTTAAGGCCTGGTCCGCAAGTTGAACAGGATTCGACTAATGGTAAAGGGTACGGGATGCGTGTGGGCAGGCAAAATACGTGGCACCTTAATGGAATACAAACTCCCGTTAACTATTGTAACGGAATTATGTGAAAACTGTCAGTGTTGGTGGCAACGGACAAGGGGTACCTGTTAACAGGAAAGTAATGCACGTTTCGAAACCATAAACGATTGCCTCGAAATAGTTGGAGCTTCTCTCGGAGGGGGAAAGTCTAGGGTTGAAAATGGACGTGATCGTCGAAGGTCCTCCACGTTCACGGAAAATCGAATTCCCCGCGGGTGGAAATGGGCGCAGATTCAGCAAACGAATCGCTCTACATTTTCCATTAATTTGTACCGCTGTTATTCGGTCGTTTCTCTCCAACGAAACGTCCAAGTTTCCAAGTGGAATGAAATTTTCTTAGACATTTGCACCATTGCTATCTCTTCAAAGGTTTAATGATCAAATTAAGAAGATTCTCTAGTTTATCTCAATCATTCGAGTCTTTCATCAATCAATGAATAATTTCCATGTATATTGCAATAATCATTTCTACAATTTTAAAAACAATTCTTAAAAGTATTTTAACAATGTAGCAAACAAGTTATCATTTAAATGTTTGAAGCAGCTCATTTGCATTTGCAAATATTCCAAGTTTCATAACATAAAACCTGCAAATCATATATCGTGGCTTAGATTTATCCAAACCGAGAAATCGTCGTAAATAAGGAAACAAGAATTTATCACGAACAGGACATAAATAGAAGCGAAACAAGTGTTCCCTTTATCGACAAATATTCCTGCTCTTTTTTCCCTACAAATTTTACGAGATCCACAGCTGCCTCTTTTATCGGTCAGTGTCTTCGCCTACATATCTACCTGAAAACAAGTAGTAAGGGAGCTCGAATTTATTTATAAGTACTACTCCCGAGAGGCCGACAAAGTGAAGCCGTTCCGGATAAAAAACCGTGAAATCCTCTTTACCCGTCCACGGCCCTTTTCTATCAATTATATTCTGATTTCCACGCAACGCCTTTCTATAAATAAACGTCAAGCCGTCGCGTAAATTATCTGTCCAATAAAATACGCTTTCATAAAATAATCCTTTATTATTTGAAATCATATAAAATGTTCTGCGTCATTATAATTTATATGTAGAGAAAATGCGATAATTATAACGTCCTCAATGGAATAATGAAATATACACAGATAATTAATTGGACATTATATACATATAATAAATAAAATAGTTAATAAGTAAAATGATCGAATTTATAAAAAGCAGACAGATAAACAAATTTATGCTGACAATGATACGGTATAATCTGAATGGAAAATTGTCATCTAACAGATTTTTGACGAATTTGGAAGCTGATAAAAATTATTCTGTAATACTTATCGATATCCGATAGTATCCCATAGCGAAACCGGGAATTCGAGCCATCGGCGCAATCTCTCAACATTTAATAAAACGGGGGAATTATTCCGGGCTATTTCTCGTGAGATTGACTCACTGCTACGGGTTGAAATTGAAATGCGAAATAATAGTGATAGACAGACTGCTTTGTGTTATATTCACTGCGGATTTCTGGATAAGATCTAAACGCTTCCCTAAGCAAACAGTGGAAATTAATCAGAACGTAGCTAAAAATCTTAGTGCAAACATTGAGTGGAAATGAACAGAAATCTAAGTGTAAGTATACCGCTTAGTTAAAAGAAAAAAAAGGGTGACTGAGAAAAAGAGAGTAACTGGGGTTATTTTAAAGCGGAGAGACAATCAATCTAATCGCACCTTGTTTGCGTTGTCACGTGCGTGACTCTACCCCGACTACCTGCCAGGCGAGAGATCTGGTGGGGAAAGAGAATGAACCCCTCTACAGCAAAAAGGAAGATCGGAACTAATGTCACTTGTCATTCGGGATCCAATACTCACCGAGCGAACTTCGATCAGTCCATTGTTCCTCCAGAGAAAATTGAATAGAAGTAATTTTATCGGGGAGAATCCGCAATCGCGTTAAAGTACCAATTACAGAAATTCAATTTTGGACATGATCAGGTATTTAATCAATTTTTAATTAGAATAACGACCTTTTGCCAATTGATACAAGCGGCGGTAACGAGTGAATCCTTGTTACTAGTGTGTACTTCCGGTGTGTCGCTTGCTGGATCGTTATGAACGAGCTTGTGAATAACATCGCGGGTCAGCCTGATAACCATCGAGACGAGTGGGTGGTTAGGGTCCAAGGCGGGCCGCAAGTCGCATCTCTCTTAGCATTGCAGAGTGGCTACAAGCATCTCGGACCAGTAAGTGAATAAATAACTCTAGCTTCCAATCAACGAACAAAAGTTTATTATACATAATGAAGTGTTGAATTCCAAGTTTAGACTTAAATACAACATTAGTTAAGTTGAAACTCCAGGACTTCATTAGGCGATAAGGCTATGCACGGAAGCACGTACTTCGGAAATCGGTTTAGCTGTACAATTTTGGTTGTTCTTATATCTAAACGCTATGAATAATCGGGGTTCAATGGCCGAAACAGGGTAGGAATAGGAATATCAGGGATAAGATGTGTAGGTAGGGGCAGAGGTCAAGACGAGTAAAAGCGTTTTTCCTCAGACAGATTAAGGGTTTGGTCGTTGAGTAAACTATGTCAATAGTTATAAATAAGTTAGTTCGTCATCCAACAAAATATCATGAATAAAAAGCCGAAAATTATTCAAATTAAACGCACTGACGATCGTCTTGAGTCCCTCATAACAGCATATTCGTATTCTGAGAGCTCCTTCTTGTATGTTTTGAGGGGTTAATATTTAAGAATGAACGGGACGAAAAAGAACGTGTCGCAGCCTATACCATTGAATATTCAGCAGTAATCTTGGGAATAAGTTCGTCAACGTTACGCAGAAACAGCTTTCTCCGAGTGAAAGAGGCAACTGCGAGATGCAATTAAAACTTAAACAATTGCTTAATAACTTATTGTTAGCCACTTGTGCAACGCCCAATTCCAGTTTAACTTCGACCGGAGCATCTCGCTATTGTAGCTTAACTTTCGTATTTATCTCAGGTAGATGTAGACGCGGATGAACTTGCCCCTTGCTGAAGGGTACAAAATGGGACGGATTTATTGCAACGAAACAGAAATTATCTATGCTATCGACAAAAACAGGTTATTATACCATTGTTCAACTAGATTACAACATCGTATTAAACGTTAACGAGACTCTAGTAAAATATGTTGTGCACCACATTATCACGGTAGAACGTGAGATAGGAAAATCGAAACACGAAACGTGTAAGCGAACACCGTTAACGAAAGACTCGTGTAACGAACATGTCGCGAAATTAATTAACAATAATGAAACAGCTGGACGACGGCATATGCCAACGTGCGAGACACGCGTTGTACACGACTGATAATCCACGGCGAGTCACTCTAATCTCAAGTGTTCGTTAAATAGCCGTAGCGAGATGGTTTCCGGTCGATTTCAAAGGTGACGCAAACGCGATTTGAAGCTTGAAAACGTCATTGTTACTACAGAGATTCCAATCTTTACGTGGAAATCGAAATAATACGCGCGGAGAACGATCGCTTGGATTACAAAAATGTCACGAATCGCAACTTTCGCAAACACAAGCGAATAATACTTCATGCAGTGAGCAAATAGGGTCAAAGAGAGTCCAACGCCGACCGAGAGGTAATGAACAAAAATACTTTGTATGTGTTTTATCAAGGTATCGTTATCAGTGTCCCTTTAGACTTCATGAACGTCGAATCCGCAAACGTGTCTCTGATGTATCGGAACGCGGCACGTTGCGAGAAGAATGGATGAGCAAGGAGAGAAGGGAGTGGGTGGAACGGAACGATAGATAGAGTAAAACATCGACCGGTACGCGAGCAAAAGGGAAAAGATACGGCCGGTGATATCTTTTTGGTCGGCGGACGGTTTCTCTCGCGCGACTTGATCTCAAGGCGGAACTCGTTTTGCAAAGTGCACGAGCCAAGAGAAGAACGAAAACGGGAGACGGGAACGACAACGAGATCTGGCCGATGTCTCGGGCGAATCTCGGCGCGGAAACGGAGGGAGAGAATGGCTGGAACGAGCGATCAAATGGTTCGTGAGGCTTGCTTACCGAGATAATCTCTTTGCAGCGATTCGTGCACCACCGCACCTTGGGGAAACGATTTGCCCGCACTTTTTCGACGCTCCCATGGCTTCCACGTCCCGCCGGATCTCGAAGGCCTGAAATACGTTTACGCCTTTGCGCAGACTTACCAGGCCAACGAAAGACGGGCCACTGGGAGGAGAGGGATCTCGTTTGGAAAAATTGTACGCGTTTCGCATTCAAAGGCTCGAAAAGCTGGGAAAATTCTTACAATGAGTGTGGGAGGGAAACGCTCTCTTCTTTACCCACGCGTATTTGACTGAGGCCACAAAGCAGAAACTTCTCTCAGGGAAATTGAGACACATCCGTGATCTTCGAATAACGATGACTTTTCCTCTCGTTTCTCCTTTTTCTGTACGTTCTGGGGTACGATGTATCTCGTCACGAGTGAACGACGCGCACCTATCTACTATACTATGCGTATAAACGGACAAAGAATTCCATCTGTCTTTTACGAGAGTCACAGGACGAATGGCTCTAGATAACTCTTAAATTTCGTACCACAATCGAGCAGTGTAGTTCTTATTTAAAGACAATCACTGTATAATCCTCGTTAAATAATCATGAACTCAGAATCAGAAGGCTAGTATTTAGATTTAGACGAATGTTCCTCACTGTCTGATATAATAATGATATAATACTTAAAACATCAGTACGAGAAATGAAGTGAACAGAACAAGTGCAACGAGAAATGTATTTCAAACGTATCTGAAGAAGACGATTTCTGCCAATGGTTATCGGAATTTGCCATAGTGATTGACACAATTCCTGAACATCAGCCAGCATAATTCCAAATGGATTAGCACATGGTATAATTACGCTACGAAGTGGCTCTTCTTTTTCATTCGCTTTACCTGGAACCGTCGTCGAGCACCGTGCACTTCTGTGCCCACGAAACTGCATCCACCCCTGCAGTTACAGCCGTGGAAACCCGACTAGCTGCGTTGCAGCTGCATGGACCAAGCCTCGCGGCCGACCGCAATCCACGTGTGAGCCCGATTCACAGGCCCTCCTCCCTTGCTCGTATATTTCCCCAGTCGCGTCGTGTAATTATTTTGTATAATTAAACTCGCGCGCGTGGTCGGCCTCGAAGGGCGAGACTGTGTGAAAAAACGAGTCGAACTCATTTTTTATTGCCGGCCGAACTTACCGCAAAACGACGGTGCCCATAATTGGTCGAGTAATTGGGTTATTCGGTCTCCGAACTGGAGCAAACTGTGGAGTACTGAACTTCTTTTTGTTAAATCTCTTAACTGAGAACAGTTTCAATTTTTTTATTAGAGTAGACTGATAAGGCTGTCAGTAGAAAAATCTATCTTCTATAAATCGTCTTTTTTTGTAACGTGTTAAATAATTATAAGATACATTTATTGAGTGTCGTGGGTTTGGCAACGAGACATAAAATCCTGCGACCGCCATTTTTCTCTGACTATCAGTCGTAAATTACAGCTAATACGTCCCGCGAATTGAAATGGGAATGTGTCGTTGAGATAACTCGACTCGGAAACGTTTTCCTGAATGGCTCCTTAGCCGTCTTGCCAAATCGCGTATCGCGATTATGCATCATCTTTCTTCTGAATGCTGTCGCGCGGCAAGAAATGTGTTGGAAGCATTTTAAATTAATATATAAATACATCGCTCTATTTTTATGTTTCTATATAAAAGTTAGAAATTTATTCGGATTGCATTTTGATACACGTGTCGGGCCAGCAAAACCGTTGCGCAAATTTTTAACAATTTCACTTGTGTCCCGTCTGTCTGCGAAACAACTACGCGATTGCGAGCTGAGCGACTGGCGAACAGGAGAAAAAGTAATTATTCGTGGCTTCGGAAACGAACGAACTTCGCTTGAAACTCTTTCGAGTATCCGGTATAACGTCGCCTATTCAGAATTTTGATGACGCATGAAATATCGTCGATATTTTCCTCTCGGAACACATCGTAACGCCTCGTCGCGCATTTTTGGAATAAAAATCATCAAAGGGAAACTACATATTCCTCTTTCCCAACGACTCGGGCTTGTTATTTTCATTTTCTTCGATAAGAACTCGATTATAAATGTCGTTAGCGAGACGTATTCGCGAGTTCGATGTGCACATAATCTGTCGCCCGCTCTAATCTCCCCTGCATAAGAAGTACGGCCTGGCCGGCGCGGCGCTGCGAGCAGAAAATCCGATAAGCAAGCTCATTACTCGTAGTGAAACTTCTGAACGTCTACGTTACTGCAGTTTATCATATATCTTAAGCGGGTCTCCCTATATTATAAAGGCTCGAGATTGCTCAATCAACCCTGGCCTCCAGGCATATTGAAATCCAGTTATCGAGAAGCTGTTACGAAACTGAATTCTCGAGCGAATTTCCTAACATTAATTTCCCGAACAGCCGGAAACTGTGTTTTTCTCTATTCCCCGTATAATTGTCATCAGCGACACTGGGAATTCAAACGAGATGAAAAGGGGAAATACCGTAATAAAATTATTATAGATCGTTATCGTAATTCCGATGGATCGTCGATTTTCTGATAGATCGTGTAGATCTGTTTCGAACTACATCCACTAATATCAGTAGCAAACGTAGCAGTAATTCTCTTTCGTTACGCATATAGTACATGCAATTATGCTGTGCGATTAATGCTTCATACATAACGTATCATCAAGTGCGGGAACTTCGGTGAAGGTAATTGGCTGTGCTTTGAGCCGTGACGCGCTGGACGGTCTTTGTCGGACATCTTTTGTGAAGTGGTAAGTCAAATAAATTTCATCAAATTTCGGCATTCATATTCATAACCCAGGCGGCGAGAATGCTCATGTTTATTCACCCCGATGCAAACTCCTTCTTGACACGGCCGGAGCAAGAATCGCAAAGAAACGGATAACCTTTCTCGAGAGCAATAAATTATGGTAAAGTGTGACGATGACTATCACGGGATTAACACTTGCGCGAAGTCTGTATAAATTACACGGATAATCAATGTGGATCAAATTATCCTTATACTTAGCACAGCATAAATTTTGTTCGAATTCATTAATGTACGACACAAAACTATCTATCTACATATTTTTTTTATTACATTGGGCATTTAGAGGTATGGAGGATTTCAAATTAATAAAACAGAGAGAATCATTTGGTAACTCGATGCTGGATCGTGCCATAATTTCCGTACAAAAACTTCATTTGGTCTGTGAATAGGTCGACTGTGACAGTTTTAACGTCTTCATCTGGAGAGAGCCACAGACATTAATGACGTACGTTCGTAAATGACCGAGGTCGATGCGGGAGTCTGCCGATTCAGCTTTAGCGTTTGGCAGTAATTGAAATAAATGACGTGGCGCCCTGCCGAACGCCATAATGAACTTCCCTGTTACGGTGGTTGACAGATGTCACAGCGACCTGCCGCCTACTATATAGTGCCCTCGCCTTCGTTAGCTTCCTACCTTCGGGAAAGGTTTAATCTCGGTACGAATAGACCTCGATATTTGATCTCCGATCTCCGGACGAAAACTTTACCGATATTCCTTATCGCCTCGTCTCAATCCTGTCTTCAACGAGAACACCAACAAATACCTCTTTTACATCCATTCACTCGACAGAACGTAAACATTGATCAAATACAAATTATTGCAAATAAAATGGAATTCTTTTCATAAAAATTGTACTGTTTGCATATAAAGTAATGAATTCCAATTTTTTCTATGACAAATTCCTTCAACGATAATTTCTCACCGTGATGAAAATTACGGAAGATGCATGGGGTAACGCAACCATCAATCGGAATTCCCGGGTCGATATTGCTACGAAATTAGGTACTAGTTTACGCACACACTTACGGGTAGCGCCGCGTGTCAGCCACATAATTCCGGTACATAACATAATCGATACGGTACTAATAGGTTTAAGAGTTAAGTGAGATCGAGTGTATGAAACTAGTCAAGGCCCCTCTTTGACCAAATTCACGTGACGCTGGTTACGGCGTTGATTTCAATTAAAACTTTGACTTTGACGTAGCCGTGGCCTGGGGTAGCATAGTTTCGAAGATTGCCTTTACTAATTCAATTTTCCCACGCATTATACTGGCCGCTCCGCGCTCTGAGTATGCAAACAGAAGATCCGTAAGTGAACACCCTGTTGGCTTCCTAAATCTTTCACTATTTGGGTTCTAATTTCAAATTTCCAAACTTTAACATCTATCTTAATTGTATTTGAAAAATTGCATAAAACGCATAAAGCAACGCTGAAATAGTCCCAACATTAATCCATAACTTCACAATCGTGTATGCGACTGTTTACTCAGATCATGCTGTAACTCTATACGCGGAGCTCCTTCTCGTATGTAACGTGCAGGAACTCCACAAATTTCACAGATATTGCGCCCGAATCGCGTCATTTAGTTTCGCCGGTGTAATAATAGTCGCACTATATACATATACGTTCAACGTCGTGCTGCGCTACCAGGTTTATACCCGGTGCGTGTTGCTCGAGATTATGCGTTCTCTGCCACTCGGGCAGCGGCAAATTCAATTACACGCATTGAATTTCGTGACAGAAGCGGTAGTTCAGCGGCGGTTTCCCAGATCCTCGCCACAAACAAAAACAGATCTCAAGTGTTTGCACTCGGTATAACTTAACGATGATAATGATGATGCGGATGCTTGTGTCAGAAAACAATCTTCCGAATGGAAAACCATCTGCCGGGAGATAACACGTGTACGTACGTATTCGCGTGATGCAGACCTCGTAAAAACTCGGATGGGTGGTTGCGAGGATCTCAGGAATTGAGGAGGCTAGAAGAAGACGATGGGAACTCGCGAAGTTTGTAAAAGCTACCGCGGACCTCATTTCCCTGGCTGGCAATCGTGGTAACGGAGGATATTGATGGAATTTTGTTTTATCGCCCGGCGCCATCACCTGTGCGATACAGCAATATATTAATCAAACTTGTATCCGATTCACGAACAAAGTGTCAAATCATCTCGGAAGTTTAGTTCTGTTAAATAAAAATGCTATGAATATCTACAAGTGAATTGGAAACTGTAACCACACTGAAAATCCTCTCGGTTTGGAAAACAACTTAACTCGAGGGAAAACGAAAAGTAACAGCGGGTAAAGCGAAAAGTAACAGCGAGAACGGGTCGCAGGGAGCGATAATACGGGCAAAGGGGGACCATGGGGTAGGTGTGGCATTGTACGAAAGGTGGCTCCGTTCCACGAAAGGATAGGAGGACGTTAGGGTTTTCATTGGAATCTGACGACGCCGGCGGGAGCTTACTGCCGCGGGATTACCGGAGACAGTTGGAAATCCGATCAAAACAAATGGACTGCGAAAATACTCCCCTCTCTCTCTCTCCCCCCTTCTCTCTCTTTACCCACCCCCTCGTGGAGCATCTAGAATCAGTCGTTTGCTGGAAGACTGTTACAGATCGACCTGGATAGCCTCGAACTCACCGATTTTCCTCGCCGGAGAGAAAGAAAGAGACGGTCTCGTATAATTCGACGAAACCGGTAAGACGAATCGGTGATCGCGAAGTGATGACCGGCTCTTTGATTTTTCGCTCTTCTATCTGGATGAGGCCTCGGGCTCGTTCGCTCGCCTACACGAATGGATCGTGTCATGACGATTTGGAAGTGGCAGGTTAACAAACAAGAGAGGAGGCGACAGTATTCGTCTCGAGGGTAGTTTCGGACAGCGTCGAGCGTCGATTGCCACGGGGACGAAGGGAACAGGAGCCATTATCACGTAACAGACGGATTCGAGTCGGAAGCGTTCCCACGTGGAATTTAAGCGGAGCGCGCCGCGTCGAACGTGTCCTATTTCGTACTTCCTATCGTCCTATCCTCTCCTAAAAAACAGTTTGAAAACAGTCGGGCCATTGGGATTATAAGAATCCTGCGCGCGAATTTCTGTTAATTCCGTTTTATAAATTGCAACTGAAAGGGAAGTAGAGTTTCCAGGAAACGATATCGTCGTCGATAAATCATCTTAAACGGTGAAATTATTTGGGGCTACCGCGGATGTAAATCGGGACGGTATTCGACTTCCTGTTGGCACCGGAAATCGCGATAACGTAGATACATGCACCAGTCACTGTCACCGATGCAAAAATTGGTAGCTGCTTACGCGATCGTTCGCACGCATGATCGTTTTTATCCGCGCGTCCGAACTGAACCACCCCGTCGCGTTGTCCTGTTACCCCCTTCCGCTGTCCGGAAAAAAATACAAAAAAGATAGAAATCAAAAAACGGACAGACAAACAGACAAAAAAAGCGCTAAAAAACGAACGAACATGCATCTATCGTTGTTGAGAATACATACGATCGTTTATCGTTCGGCTCAACAACAACGACCGATTGGATCCATTCCCCCTCTGACGGGAATACGTAGATATAATGGATGCGGAATTATTGACTTTCCTTTGCGACACAAGATCATTGTTTCACAGCTGGCTCCGCGGATTTCTGTACTCTTTGTTTCCATTGTGGTGATGCAATACAATGGCAACATTTACAGTTAAACCCACACCGCGGACACATACTAATATTCTGTGAAATGGAATAATCATCGTCTCCGTCCTTCCGGTGTTAAATCGGTTATCGTTATCCGAGTAAATTCATTCACATATTTACGGCTGATAATTAATTGCAACAAAAATTCTGAATTATCAACAAAAAACAAATGCGATAATAATACGTATGTTATGAATGCAGAACACTTGTATAAAAATATTTCTACTTTTGATAGTACGCTTTTATGCTTTTTGCTATCCTTCACTAATGAATAACTTTTTCCACGGCATATCGATTGCGTAATCAGCAAATATAGAAACGTGATTTAACGTTATATCCACAAGGAGAACAGATACACGTTAAAACGCGTGTTTTTATGCTACACTCGTAATCGATTGGGCGATCTAATATTTGCAATTGGTGCTCGTAACATTAAAAACATGTGTAACGTTCTCTTTAAAATGAATCTTTTTGTTATTATTCGAATAACAGCGCTACGTTCTATTTGCCATATCGCGCGTATCGACTGCTTAAAAGTTTCCAATTAGCAATTAAAAACCGGGAAACGGGAAAAACCTAATAGCTGTCCGTAGTCACAGGATACACAAAAATTTGTCTAATTATATTTACTTTTTTTCTACGATCATAAACAGTGCTCGTTTTACACCTGCAAACTCTCGTCGCGTATTCACGTTAGTATTTGTGTCCTACATGCACGCGCAGTGGCTAGGATCATCAATCAGGCCAGCCAGGCGGATCGATAAACTATCAGGAGTAGCAGATCAGAAAATTCGAACGAAAGGAGGTAAAAAATAAGAGGCACACGTTGCTCGTTACATATCGTGGTTTCCCTCATGACTGACTTCGACCAGGTGGTCCCCCTTCCTACTATGGGGAAACGTCGACACCACATGCGGATACCATAAAAGTGCACCACGTGGCGCCTGAGTAATAATAATGCTGCCGTATTCCACGCGTCACATAGCCCCCCAAAGTCAGTTGCTACTCTGTCCTACTGCTTCATCTATCTCGGTGTCTTTCCTGTACATGTATATGTAATATCGGGACAACCAACCTTCCGTTCATGCTATCCTGTTCGATGCGTCCCTTTTGATCGTTCGAAGGGCTGAAACGTCGCGACGTCGTAGCGCACCCTTGACGCTCGAGCACTCTAGATGCTCGATTCGAGGGCCTGCGGTGAACCATCGGTGCAAATGTTTTCATTTCACGTCCCATGCTCTTCCACGAAGATTACGATCTCGTCCGAAGTATTTCATTAAGTTTTTCAGTGCAGGCTAATAAATGTTTGACAGGGAGGACTAGATTTAAAGATACGTACATATATATTGAATTATGATTTCGTACAGGTTCTAGGATTCGAGGACACGTACAAATGGCTCCAAGATGATGGCAATGGATACCAGAAAAGAGGCGGAGTTCGTTTAACGAAGGCACTCAATTCGAGCACCAAGGTAATTTCGTTCAATGGTGAATTTCTTTTGGGTGCCACGATGTTTGACTCCACTGACACGATTTTTCCGTTGCGAAGATCATTTGGGCGGATCGACAGAGGGCGGTCGAGCGACACAAACGTGATTACGTGCCATTATCTAACTTCGATTCAGAGAAACCTTTGATAAGAGAGAAGAGGCTGGAGGTAGATCAGTATCGCTTGAACAGCGTAATGGAAGATGATAAGGATTGGCGACTATTTGGATTGAACGATCCTGAAGACTCGAAGCTAATGTTCAATGATGAACTGTGGGATCAAGAGTGGTACCTGGTAATAAGCGAAATGATATCCCAAACACTTTATGATATTAATAAATTGATATTGATAACGACAATGATCGATATATTTCTAATAACTTCATATTTTTATATCGCGCGATCAGAGATGGTAGAAACGTGGGTCAAAAACGTTGAATAAAGACGCATAGAAAGAGAGGAAAGTCAATCAATACGAAGCCAGATCAATAGTTTTAGTTGTTGGTAAAATGTTTACCCGTTATCGTCTGATAAGATAAGATTTCCTTATCAACTGTTGTAGCAAGATACCCGATCGAGCAAAGCGCTTCCCAAGCTGGATCTAAACGTTCTACCCCTCTATCGACTGGGGGTAACTGGCCGAGGGGTGAGAATCGCCGTTCTGGACGACGGATTGGAGTATACCCACGACGATTTGCGAAACAATTACGTGAGTAACAAAGTGAAGTTACCCTTTCACCCCACAGATGACTGAAGCTACCCCTCAAAATCGCGTGCCCGAATTTTACATCGAATATCTTTGCAATAAAACATAAAACTACATGTATTTTTATATTTCTAAGAAGTAAGAATAATATTACTTGAATTTTATAATCAGTAATTAGTCCTTTTTTTTTAACATAGTAATGTTAAAATATTCTGTATCTGCGTCTACTGATAAGAAAACGTATCGAACTGTCATTCATCGATTTTGATAAAATTTGCCGGACATGTAGTCTTCACAAAAATCTTTGACAACCTATTTTTTTTATCGGCATCCATGAAAACAACCCTCAAAGTTAGGGTTGCGCACCATATTCTGGCGTATATCACGAGAACTATATACACATATGTACATAAGGTATAGACAAATAGTTTAAACTGACAAAACGTATTTTAAAGGACAAATTTATATAAACGACAAACAAATTTGAAAAACGTCAATTTGTATAAATAATATGTTAAACAATGTTAAACTTTTCTGCTAATTTTTCATATTAAGTGTTCTTCAAAATGTATATGTGGATGGGTCAAAAACGTTGAATAAAGACGCATAGAAAGAGAGGAAAGTCAATCAATACGAAGCCAGATCAATAGTTTTAGTTGTTGGTAAAATGTTTACCCGTTATCGTCTGATAAGATAAGATTTCCTTATCAACTGTTGTAGCAAGATACCCGATCGAGCAAAGCGCTTCCCAAGCTGGATCTAAACGTTCTACCCCTCTATCGACTGGGGGTAACTGGCCGAGGGGTGAGAATCGCCGTTCTGGACGACGGATTGGAGTATACCCACGACGATTTGCGAAACAATTACGTGAGTAACAAAGTGAAGTTACCCTTTCACCCCACAGATGACTGAAGCTACCCCTCAAAATCGCGTGCCCGAATTTTACATCGAATATCTTTGCAATAAAACATAAAACTACATGTATTTTTATATTTCTAAGAAGTAAGAATAATATTACTTGAATTTTATAATCAGTAATTAGTCCTTTTTTTTTAACATAGTAATGTTAAAATATTCTGTATCTGCGTCTACTGATAAGAAAACGTATCGAACTGTCATTCATCGATTTTGATAAAATTTGCCGGACATGTAGTCTTCACAAAAATCTTTGACAACCTATTTTTTTTATCGGCATCCATGAAAACAACCCTCAAAGTTAGGGTTGCGCACCATATTCTGGCGTATATCACGAGAACTATATACACATATGTACATAAGGTATAGACAAATAGTTTAAACTGACAAAACGTATTTTAAAGGACAAATTTATATAAACGACAAACAAATTTGAAAAACGTCAATTTGTATAAATAATGCGTTAAACTTTTCTGCTAATTTTTCATATTAAGTGTTCTTCAAAATGTATATGTGGCTACTATAGAGTCATATGTAAATTACGAATAGATTTAAATTTTTATTTTTATTTATAAGATATTCTAATATATTGTCTGATCACTTAAACTTATTCTACTCCTATTTTTAGGATGCAGACATTAGCTATGACGTGAACGAAGGCGACGACGATCCATTGCCACGATACGATGTAACAGGTAGTACGAGTCAATTAAAGCACCTCTTGTAACACGCCAATTATTAACAAAGGGTGTTAGGAATGAACGGACACGGGACAAGATGCGCCGGGGAGATAGCGATGGAGGCTAACAACCGGAAATGTGGTGTGGGCGTTGCTTTCGAGGCTTCCATCGGCGGGATCAAGCTGCTCGACGGTGTGGTGAACGATCGCGTCGAGGGAGAGGCGCTCGGATACAAACCGAAACTGGTGGATATTTACACGGCCTCCTGGGGCCCGGCGGACGATGGAAAAAGTTTAGAGGCACCCGGAAGACTCGCTACGGAAGCACTCGAACGCGGTATAAAAATGGTAAATATTAGAAATTTCAAACCGAGTATCGAATAAATCGTCGAATTTGGAATAAGCTAGATATGCCTTGGCAATCTTTAAAACGAAATAGGAGACTGTTGCTCTAACAATGTTCACTCTGGCATTTCTAATAAAAATTAATTCCACTTCCTAGACTGCCGATGTGACCACGTAATTGATAACAATAATTAAATGTCTCCTTTTCCATTCAGCTGTTTTAAAACTTATTGTGTTGAAATTATTTTTGACAGGAATGACCATTTATGTACATCTTAAAAGGCTAGAGTAGAAACGTGACTTTCCCAACATTTGTCGATAAAATTTTAACGTTTTTTACTAGGCATTAATTATGTATGTAATATAAAGCCCGAGTAATTCACTCCCTTATATAAATTTCTGTCCATGGCCCGAGAAAGTTTTTTACAATATTAATTAATTTTGAGAGTATGGCGTAACATAAAAAGGACGACGGAATAATTCCTAAATGTCCACTGCTGGCTAGGAGAAAACTAAATATTCATGAAGAATAAATCGGCAAAAAAAAGTTGGAGGTATAACGTTTGATGCATATTTATGCTTTGGGTGCACATTTTTCAAGCCATGCGTGGGGCTAATGTCGTTTTACTCGGTGTACCTTAAAAATATCGTTTTCGGGGTAGAGGGGTAACGCGGTTTATAGCGCGCGCCTCCTTAATAATTCCTATTGATCGGATACGACTATCCAGGGCAGAGACGGCAAGGGCAGTATTTACGTGTGGGCTTCCGGAAACGGAGGCTCCAAATCGGACGACTGCGGATGCGACGGATATGTAGGAAGCATTTACACGATAGCTGTCGGCTCCGCCAGTCAGACCGGAAGATTTCCGTGGTACGGTGAAACCTGCCCAGCAACGTTAGCAACTACGTACAGCAGTGGCGCTTATCAGGATCAAATGATAGTAAGAAAAATATCGCATCGTTCGTTGATAAATTACCCCCACTTTGAATATTATTAATATGTTCATTGAGGTATTAAATGACAGCGTCATGGACAGCGTGAATGCTGAATTTAATAATTTAATGGATTGCACATTTTCCTCTCCTCAGGCAACAACGGACTTAAGAAATACCTGCACGACAGGACACACCGGCACTTCCGCTTCCGCTCCATTAGCTGCCGGGATCCTAGCCTTAGCTTTGCAAGTAAAGTATGAGCTAGCTGGATAATTTAATTTTAGAACTTGTTTCACGGAACTTAATGCAATCCCTGTTCTACTTTCAACCCTCTAAAAAGAAATCGGTAAAAGAGTGGAAGTTCTGGTTTAAATGTTTGCTTGTCCCAAGTCTCTTGAAATCTCTTTCACATTCATGAAAATGTTTTTTTGAAATTCCGCATCCGCGGAAAGAAGTAGTGCAATGAAGATAATTTCGTCCAGACATAATTGACATAACTCGAGGCTAGATTAAAAATTGACCCTTCTCGAAATCCATTGAGAAAATATTAGACGCACCCCGAGTTAGTTCGTTTAACCACGGAACTGTGAAACTCGAGAACAACGCAACGCTCTGCGGGCGTTTCAAGCTATTAGGGAAAACAGCTTTAGGCTATTCCCTCGCAGTATTCTGTTTCCGCGCATTCTGGCCGGACTACAAAATATTTAGCTACTCGAACATCGCAAACTTTTCCCCGGCAAATTATATTGAACAAACAAAAATAATTGAAACCTGACGTTCTTCTCTAGCAACGATTTAACTTGGAGGGACGTGCAGCACCTCATCGTCTGGACGTCGGAGTACAGTCCACTCAGGTAACTCGATATAACTTTTAGACGATCTCAATTCCGCGAGGCTTAATTAATCTTGGAAATTGGAAAATTCTCCAACTCAATTCTTTATTTGTTCTATCGTTACAATTTCCGGTAATTGAGGTACCATCTTTCGAATCAAAACGTAATTTTATTCTCTTTTTTCATTCACTACCCTCTCGCTTGTTCTGATCTAACCCACTCGTGTATGCTGTGGCTTTTTACTGTTACAACTTAGATCGTACAGATCACTGAGGGAAAATGTGCGTTTTCCCAGTTCTGAGTGCCATTCATAAGCACTATGCTGTTGCAAACCAGGTGTAAGAATAACAGCAACTTCTGTTAATATGATTTATTAATGATAACACGCCGGCAAGATCAACTAAACTCCGTATAAGGATGTGAAATAAATCAAGGATAAGTACTTGAGTTCGCAGTTCGGCAGCCTGAATCCTCTTCAAGTTTTTAGCAAGGATGCATATATACAGTAAACAATATTTCAGAAGTCGGTAGAAAGTTTTCTTCTCAGTTTGTAGAAACCTACTCTACATACAAAATCTGTTTGCGAATAAACTTTTCTGTGTTCCAAACTGGTACAGATGCATTATCGATACTAATTAACTTTGTAGAACAAAATATAACCAAGGTTTCTCTTTACTTTGTAAGATGCACAATACAGCGTTTGGATAGATCATGGTTTCTCAATCCCGAGGAACTGTGTAAAAGCTCCTTCACGAGGTAAAAAGGTCGGACTTGTTCTTTTGTTTCGTTGGGTATCGTGAACCACCGACGCGACAGATTAAAGAATCGCGACATTCTTATTCGCTTTGCGGCTGAGGTAAAAATGTAGGTCACGCTGTTTCGAGGAGACGTAATTCAGGTAAAACGGATAGGAAACGAAGATCGTTTCTTTCTCCAGTGAAAATAATAACACGGCCTCTGCTCTTGCGCATCGGATGAACAGTTAGGATCGACACGAGCTTCCCCCCTTAACTTTCCCCTCGCTTATTTCTCCCCTATCAAATATGTTATTTATTCACGCAATTTCGGAAGACTTGATACGACTGAAACAGCTTCTCAAGAAACACATATTCGTAATTTGATTTACCAGAGTAGCTAGACAGCGTCTGAGATGAAGCGAACTTGACAAGATTAAGAATGAAAAGCACTTTCAGTTTAAAAAAGATTAGCTTTGAAAATTCTTGTAAAATAACTTCTGTTCAACAGATTCGCTCTGTTATTGCGCATTAGATTTCAGTTAAATACTCTGCAATCGCTTAAACATCCACGATTTGTGATATTCGTTAATTTCACATTCCGCGACATCGGATTTAGTATAAAGAGAAAGGAAAACAAGACGGGAAATTGGAATAAACGATGGGCGAGTTGCGATTGAATTTATTAAGAATTCTCAACTTCATTCATGGCACCGAGTATCGTGCGATAGTTTGAATTCAGTGACCTGATTGCACGATTGTATCGGGCTCTCTGAGCAAGGCGCGACGAACAATGGCTCCATTCTACGCTGGCGTCGTTTGAATGAAACCATCGGCTGGACTGGAACGATGCGTGTAAAAGTAATTCGTTTTTGATCGTCACGATTCGTGATAGATTCCCCTGACGAGAAATCTCTGATCCGTGAATCGATAAACAATTGTAATACATAGTACGGAGACGCGTTAAAGGAAAATTACCCGTTTAAAAGGATGGAAACGAAAGTTAAATGAACCATGAGTTTTCTTGAAAGGATAGAGGTTTCTTGCGGGGCGTAAAAAGGGATTACATGCCGCGCGTCGGAAACCATTCCGTTTTACGATGGTTATTCTTTCCTTCACAAGCTCCCTAATTGCTTGAACTTTCAGGAAAAATCCGGGTTGGTTCCTAAACTCCGCCGGGTTTTGGTTCAACTCACGTTTCGGCTTTGGACTTATGAACGCGTACGCTTTGGTCTCTGCCAGTTCCAATTGGACCACTGTTCCGAACAAGACCATTTGCAAAATAGACGCCAACGAAATGTGAGTGACGCTTGCTTTATGCACTGTCTCTTTAACGTTTACCGAAACTTTGTATACTTAATATAATCTTGAACAAAGATGGATCCTTCATAAATTTGATAAAAGTGTAAAATCTTAAAATTGAGGAGTTACTCAGATCTGTAGCTTGTAATAGAAATGAGATATTAATCGATAGTACCGACGTATTCCATTGTGGTTGAACATACTACACACGAGTACCGGGCACGTAGAATTTACCACTCTCGGTCCATTTAGATTACTACAGTCGAACGTGATCCAACCCTGTTCACTGCTTTAAACGCTACTATACTGAATATTCCAACAAGCTTTCGAGGTTTCATGCATTTCAAACAGGCATGCACTTTTCCGCGAACTCTTACACGCGCTATACATTTTTTAGATTTCTAAGCGGAGGAGAATGCGACCATTCCTTTTATCCATTGATTCACTTTATTTATGAATTTTCGCGTACGATTCTCTTTCATCGCAGGAACCCAACGTACTTAAACCCAAGAAAGTTGAGCGCCACTCGTCGCCTCTAGAAATTCCCTTTTTCCTTCTTTTCTTTTTCCTTTGAAGATGAAAAACAGCGGCACAGTTTCTTGTAATCAAAGCACCAGGTGATGCTCGGGTCTCGTCCTTGGTCCTTTAAACAGCGTGGCGACGCTCGACTTTTTACGTCGTTAAACTGAAAGTGTTCTCCAGTAATTCGTTACCTCGCAGTAATAAGAAGGAAGGCAGACGAAAAAGTAGAACGTTTCGAGGACTATTCGTACGCTCCTCGTACATTCTCTCGATTTACTGTTTCTCGAGGAAGGAACGAAATAGCTACGTTCTCGTCTCGGAATTAAATGAACAGTGACAACCTTAAAAAGCATTCTTCTACGTCGAAATAACATTTTCGTGTCACCGCGTTCCTTTAAGACGAAATCCTCCGTCGGATTCTCAGTAATAACGACGGGAGAGAAAGTTTTCACTATTCCGGGAAGTTCGAATCAGTTCTATCGACGAGGCGCAGATGCATACGAATTCAACTATATAGAAGTTCGTGTATACGTGTACGCGCGCAAATGTGAGAAAACGTCTTCTTTGGTTTAGAATCGACAAGAAGCTGGCTTATGGTAGTAGCAAGAAGTTGCGATTCGAGGTAGGAGACGAATGTCGATCAAAAGGGAACGAGATTACGTTTTTGGAACACGCGGAGATCGAGGTCAGCCTCGAGTACAGTCTGCGCGGAGCGCTTCAAATGCATCTGACTGCACCCTCAGGTACAGACTTCTTCATTTGTATCAACTCCGGCGCTCTTTGAAGCCGTTCTGTCGACTGTAAGCACTTCAGGCAAAAAATAATTCACAAGAAGAATAATTTCTTGTTTTTTCGAAAATTGTAACACTGTTCTATTTCTTTGAGGGTTTCATTCCTCCTTCCGTAGTAACGTGGTTAAGATTAATGTAAAAGTGAAACAATATCGAGAAATAGATTTGACTGTAGATAGTTCGAACGAGCCGAAGAGAGATTGGTTTGACCGTTGGACAATAGTACGTACGTACCGCGTTTAATTCCGAGCACGTTCGTGAACTCCTGTTATATTAATAGTCGGTGTACCGTGCGTGGGCGCATCGGGGAATATTCGAAAAATAATAAAGGTTGGCGAAACGTAATTTCGGTCAACCGGAAACCGAGCCACGTAATTTCCTCTGCTGCATACGGTTACTGATTAAATCCTTACTGATGCGAAAAATAAAATTACCATTAATTGACTCACCTATCGTTTTAATGAGCATCGCGATCATAAAACAGCGAACAATTTTATATTTTTATATAATTGAACACAATAAAAATAGCAAGAAACTTTTGTGATGTCTTCCCAAGGGACTAAGGTGCAAATACTGAAGCCCAGGAAGTTGGATGACTCAGCCGCTGGTTTTGAAAAATGGAAATTTATGTCGGTGGCGTCGTGGGGCGAGGATCCGCGCGGCAGATGGGTTCTGGACATCTCAGACGAGGTGATTTATCCGAGGGAATATTTCTATTAATCTAACCTTATGTATATTCCTTTCTCTTCCCTTTTAACGTCGACGACGAACAGAATTTTTACTTAATCGGATCTACAAATATTTACACAATGGCATTTATTTGTGCGTCGAAAGATCGGTCCAGAAGAGAACAATGGGACAATAGAAGCGTTTGCATTGATTTTACACGGAACCAAGGAAGCGCCGGAGTACCGCAAAAACGGACCTCGGATTTACAACCAGGACTACAATAGAATCCGCAAAACTGTGAGTGAATTTAAATTTTGTTTCAACGAATTACGAAACAGTTGTTCGGTTTTATTTTACACTGGCAACGCAGCTTCCAATTCTGCTAGAACATCTTCAATATCTTATACACTCTATTTTCGGTGACAGAACGGAAACCGATCAATGAAATACGCATTCGAGGAGAAACTGGGGTTACTGATTCAAGAGAACGATGCCTATAAGAAAGATTGGTTGGAGGAACTTCTTTGAATATAAATTCACTAGCAAGTGAAATATCATTCGTAGAAACAGATTCATCGATCTTGCATCTGTCTGGCTAACGTAAACGCGAGTAGTGAAATTATTCAACTATGCGATTGAATCCATTTGGTGAGCTAAAAATGCATTAATTCATAAATTCTATTGTCGTTATTCCTTATCTCGTTGCTTCACGTTTGTGTTAGTGAGGGATAGATCCATGAGTTCGTTTGTACAGTTTGTAAACGAAGCTAATTAATAAAAATGAAAAAGTACACACTGAAAAATTATATATCATTTTTTAAGAAACTCTTCATTAATTTCATCGCACTTTTAAAATTATACTTGTACGTATTAAAGCTGACTAAGGAAACAAGTGAAACTGATCAGGTACAAGCTGCCTGAAGCTGCTAACAGATAATTATATACACAAAAGGAATTCTTGAGCAAACTGCATTTTCTAGCAGATTTACCTAAAAGAACTTCCATTTGTTGATAGGAACATAATCGGGTTCCACTTTCCATGCAATTATTATGAATACAATTTCCCTTATTCTCCGGACTAAGTACTCAAAGAACATTACGGTGACTTAAGACCTCGCGACAATAAAAGTACGCGAAAGAGAATGATACGCTTTCAGTATCAGCAAGTTCCATACTTTGCGGAAGACTAACTGTTACGCAGGACTAACTGTTAAACAAACTTTCGCCATTTATCGACATTCATTTATATCCAATAATTTCTTTTCTGTAAAATAATAAAAAATACTTCGTCTATAAATCATAAAACGAAACGACGAATGTTATCATTCGAGAAAACCTCAGATTTCTATTCGAACTTTAAAACCAAAAAAACCAGTCATTTTAACTGGTTTGGTAGTTCTAGTGTTAATTAAAACATGATCGAGTTTTGGAATTCTTTCCCTCCTAAGAAATAAAATCAAACTTCCTTAAAAACCCTTCAACCTCTACACACAATCTTCATCGTTATTTACACTAGAAAAGTGTCGCAAGAACCAGCACGAAGTCACACAGAAAATGAATTCTTTATGATACTCTGAAGATTCCATGGAAGCCAAGTATCAACCAGGTTAAAGGTAATATTGTCACAATTGTGAGAAATACAATTCTCGAAGCATATATGCTATACCAAGACACGTCGCAGTCGTAAATCATTTCAGCTTCAAAAAATGTGCCTCGAGACGCGAGATCTTGCGAATATTTCGTGGCAATACGTAACCTGAGGAACATTCACGGTGAAATATGAGGGAGGCTATTAGCGTGGCTCGCCAGCTATTCCTTCCTTTAAGAGCGCAAGACGGGATGAAACGTTCGCTCCGCGTTACCCCGGTTCAAAACATAATTCATGTACGTTTGTAATTTTCAAGCCACGAGAAGAAAGACGAAGTTAGTTCCCTTGTTGAACTCCACTACTATCCCAGATCAAAGAACCAATGCGATGTTAATGAAAATCAATTTTCCACTAAGCATCTACAAAGCTCCGCGTTTCGTGCTCGGAAATGAATTTTCCACGAACTGTTAACGCATTGCCTGTTGATTTTGTGCGATTTACTTTTGATCAGGGAGCAAACACGCGGGACAATGAGAAACAAGGTGATAACAAGAGAAAACAACGTCCGTGCGCGAAAATAGAAATCAATCGATGGTCCATGCGGGATGCAGCGATTCCTCTTCGTGCGAAATGATTTAATTAAAACGCGAATCGCATTTTGGCCGCGACATGGAATAAATTCTTGGCTGTTAGGAATTGTTTGCTTCATCGATCCGCGTTTAATACGAATTAATTATACGAGCGATGAAACATGTACGCAAACTTATGCGAAATAACACCGCGGTTGGCGGACGGAACGTCAAACTTCACATGTAAAGAAACAAACTGAATTCAATAAGACGGTCAAATAAAACTATCGTTTCTGTCGAGCCTTTTAGTAACTTAAATATAAATAGGATAATAATAATAATAATAAATACTTAGGATAAAAACTTAGCATAATAGGTACATTATGATTATATTATACAGGGTGTCCCAGAACTAATACTACGCCCGAAAATGGGGAAGAGCTGATGTGATTTTAAACTACTTTTTCCTTTGCAAAAAAGTTGTCCGAGGCGTGGTTGTTGAGTTATTAACTGCCCAACCAAGTCACTTCGATCTTGATAGATCTAGTGTTAAAAATGTGCCCCCAACACTAACTACCCTGATATTTGTTTTTTTTTTATAAAAACTTGGCAATCGAGGAAATTTTGTTATATTAAAAGAAGATATTACTGCATGGATTTTCGCCTTAAATGGTGCTTACTAAATATGAATAAAATACGAAATAGAAGGTGTTAAGAAGAGGGAGAAGAAATTCGAAAATTTTGACTTACTTCGAGCGCCTATCATAGTCGTTTCAACCACCACGTAGCTGCGCTGCCGTCGACCTGATAATGGGGTAACTCGGGGCGAAACGGGGTTGATTCAGCCAGTAGCATGCCGCCCTTCGTGCCGTGAGCGTCGCGAAGTTCGCTTGAAATGATACGTTGATGGTGTTCATTCTCTCCATCAGACTTCCGTCTCTTGAATCCTTGCAACCGAACACCTGTGAACACAATCTACAGCAATAGTATATCTGTTACTCCGCCGACAGGTGAGTAAACTCTTTGTAACAAAATTTCAAACAGAGAATTAAAAAATGTATGCGCAATTGAACGTGGTTGAAAAACAAAAGGTGGGAGGCAATTTAACTGCACAAAGGCCGCGATGCCACGATAATTAGGCAATGATAAAGGGCGTGACGATGCGAACGGAGGCTCGTGAATGCAGCACTCGCAGCCGAGTGCCTTTTACTCAACGCGAATTCCGTTAATTAACCAGCAGCACCCTGACCTGTTGGTACTTAGTGCTACCCTGCGAGGGGAACGAACGTCCTTTTTCCGCGTTCGAATCTACACGCAATACCGCCACGCAACTGCACGAGTTGACACGAACGATTTTACTCCGGTTAGAGATTAAACGTACCATTTATCTTGTCATTCAATAAAAACAAATAATATACGGAATAGTCTAATTCAAAATAAGAAGATTAATAAAGCCGAGATCGAATAGTTTTGTAGACTAGTAGTATAATCAAATAAAAGTAGTATAATCTATGGACATGGGGTCTGTATTATTTAATACAATTTTAAATAGTGATTTAGAACAGATAAGGTAAACGAATGTATCCAGAAGGTAAACTACTTTTAAGTAATGCAACTTTTCGTGTGTGGGGTGAACTTTCCTCTTGACAGATCGATTATACACATGTTCCACGAAAAAAATCATTAAACCTCTGAGTAATCATTGCGTGACCAGTCTCGTGGCTTAGTTTATTTCTCTCTTAATCTCGCTTCATGCTCGGTGAAACACTAATTATACACAGAAGATATTATTATTTCGTAATTTGACCGCGTTTAGTCACAATTGGTTTTCCTTTAAAATCACGTCGAATTTTTTAACTGCTTTTCTTTATGTTTGAAATTCGTTTCTCTCGTGGTACAAAAAATGTTGTACGCATTTCAGCGTGCGGGACATTTGGGATGAAAATTAAAAGGGCAAACTAGAATGCGACTACGCTTGAAAGAAATTCATTGAATTCAAAAGTAATTTATAACTGCGAGCAGGTCTCTCTTTCTGCGTTTAATTTGTTTTTCGTCAGATGCTCGTGACGGGATTTTCAATGAAATTAATTCGCTTCTTTTTAGACCTTTGATGTGCATCTGGAATGTAATAACAAAGGGTACCGTGATTTTGAGATCAGAATCGTGTTTTGTTTAACGAGCGGCGCGGTAGCTGCTAGGTAGATATTATAAAGAGAAAGAAAAACTAACGGTACGGCATACGCTGTTTCTTATCTTTTGTCCACAAGCAAAGTACACCTTCCTCGAATATCGTTTACCGTGAAATATCCCTGAAGCATACCGTGGACAATTTCAACTTGTTTGTTCTACCAACCAGCGAGCTAACAATATCTCACAATAGCTAGTTTCCTCCAGAATGGATGAGGATAATTCCAGCCATAATTTTATCGATTTTGGCCACTCGGATCGTGCTCGATTGAGACATCCATCATCGCGCGTGACTCGCTCTTGAAACTCTGTACATACAAATTGGATCATCCACCTGATGTCCCAACAGAATGGATGGCGGGTAATAAAAATGATACGGATGATCGTTCCCCATCCTCTTCTGTCGCCGAACACGAGGAGTCAGGTGGCGGAAAAATGAAAGTAGTAGGCTAGAAGAACGAACGTTTCCCACAGCGGTTTGTTTCACTTGCGATTCCGTTTTAATCCCGCGGCGCGATGGCCATTCAGCGCTGGAATCCCGAATCTCGCGATCTGGGTTAATGACGGGCGCTTTCCGCGAATTGAGTGGTGTTCGTTACTAAAATTAACATTTTTTTCGATAGTGCGACGTTGCGAGAGAATTACCTCTGTATGCAGTCGAGTCGTAAAACGTTTAACGGTACAAGCACTTGCATAAATTAACCACCGACACGCTCATTTTCTTAAGAGGAATGGAACTTAGAAGTGAATGTTTGAAGAATTTAATCGTCAAACGTTTCAAACTATATTAGACAGTGATGAAACGATGAAAATTTTAATGGACGATATCATGAAATGATATAATTTCAAACTATCTTCAATCGTATGCACACGCACTAAGTTTATTTATGATAAGAAAGTGTTAGAGCTGCATCGCATGAAAATGTGCGAACATTCTGCAAGCTTCCACCTTGTAGAGTCTCTGAGAGACCAAATATTTCTTGATAAACACTGAGATACGCGTATTAGCGGGTGGGCTCCAGCATGCAACCGGATCGCTCTCCCGCGCCGTTATTGGAAGCTCCAATCGATAATCGAAGTGCGAGACATTTTTGTATCCGCGAATATATCACCGATATCTGCCAGTGAGCCGTACAGTAGTACGTAGATATATATTATACAGACGTACGTAACGTATCTACATATATTTCACAGTAAGTCCCGCTTGAATTATTGACAAAACCGATGGAAATCTCGCCCAATTAAGCTCCGTTTCTATTGAGAAGCTTAGCTCCGCTTTCGTTACGGTCAGAGCAGTGAAGTATCATAATTAATCGCATACGAAACCAGGAAACTATCAGTTTTCAGTAGTACATCATTAGGCGAGTGTTAAAGATCGTCGAGTTTAGAATAGTGTCAATATCTATAATAAGAAGGAAATTAGCAAATTCCTGATAAAAATATTCATCGAATCCATTTCAAACATGTTCATTTTTAAGAATATTTCTTAGAGAAATTGAATCTTTATTTTCTTCTCATATTCCACGGACCATTACGCGATCTTCGACGGAAAAGCAACCGGAGGCGACTCGGAAACGTGGACGTATTCCACACAGCGCGGCGGATTAACAGAGACATGCATAAATCCCGCGAGCATAACGTTGGAAATGACGTCAACGGGCGGATGAAATTTTTCATCAAGCGCCACGGACAATACCCTCTGGAAAGGTAAAAACGGATTTAAGAACGAAATACTAAGATACGCCGTATATTTTTAAATCGTGGCCGGACCAACTAAGTTCGACTCCGTGCATCTTGTTATTTTCAAGTTCCACTATATAAACTGTTATCCAAACTCTACTTCGAAGAATCGATTTTATCACCGATGTGTGTATAATTACTTAACAGCGAATCACGTTAACGAAACTGAGAACCTAGCATGAGAATTGTTAGGAAAAAATAAAAGAGTTGTATACATTTTTTATTCAATCAAATCCGGAAGACCCAGTTTGCCAAAAACAAAGAATCGGGACGGGAAATGCGAGTTTGAAAAAAAGAAATATAAAACACACAAGTGCAGAGGTAAACCGGGCGAATAAACTTCAATCTGTATCTCGGTTGCATTGTGCTTATTTTTAACTCGTGACAAAGAGATCATTGCGTGTGTGCACAGGTGAAACAGATTTTGCAACATTCGAGTAACGTCGAGCGGGGGGAAAACGTGTCGGAGGTTCGATCAAAGGTTGCTTTTTTCGTGATTCTTGCCGGTCTCGCATTTCAATAAAAGTAGAAGGAACAAGTTCATCGAATAATCAGAGGACAAGAAGAGATTTTACTACGGCACATCGTCGCCGCCGCTGTCCCTTTATTTTTAGCACAACAGAGACCACAAGAGAGCGACTGATCGGTTTACCTCAACGGAGGTGTTGTTCTCGTAGAGCAACGATCATTCTTTACCCGTCACAGCCTGCTGGTTCTCCATTTTTTTCGACAAACCACGCCAGCCTGAAGGGAAGCAAACAGTGGACTGGTAACCGCTAATTACTTGACTTCCCGTCGTGGAGCCGCGCACTAAAAACTCGCGCTTTTATTTGCACAGCTTCATTGATCCGTCGAGAAAAATGGAAACCAGTACTTTTTGCTCGTCGATCTTTCATGAATTCTCTTCTTTAACTTCCGGAAAGAGCTTGCTAACTGGACGTTATTAAATTTCTGCTCAAACCTTAGTCACTTGGTTGGGTCAAAGCGCGCTTTTATGAACGTCAAATCAGAAATGCAATGACTAATTTACTTAGCAATCAATTATAAAATATTTTTAATTAAGATAAAAAGACATGATTGACAATTTATTATAACGATGCGTTTTATATGTATTTACGACACGTTGGAACGACGTGTTTAACGTTCAATATATTATGTTACCCTCGGGGAACTAATCGAGACATTGAGATTTTATTGCGCACTAGAACCTATATTCTGGAACATGTTATTTCGAAGCCATGCCTTACTACATAATCGAATGATAATAATAATAAAAGTGTTCATAATTCAATCTAAAATTGCAATGCCTAGATTCACTATTTATTACGTGTCTGCATTGAAACTAAAATTGTGCTTGTTTTGTCCATTGCTTGAATATTATATCAGGATGGTACAACGCTAACGATCCAAGCTTTATGAGGATTACAAAGCTGCGTCATCGGATTATCGTAACGCCGGACCAAAAAGCGAAGCAGTGAACACTCGATTCATGGTAGATGAAATCGTATGAAAGAGAAATGTCATCCAATTAATCATCAAACTTCCGTCCTCATTAATTGGAGATTATCGATGGCTTTTAGGTGGGGCAATTTACGCAAGCAAAAATTTTTATTCTCCCACGTCACTTCGCGTGAAGTAGTGATTTTTCAAATCTGCTGCTTGTTAACGTGACTTGCAGAACATTTATTGATAAAATTCTTATGTGTTTTGCTCGGTTTTATCGATAAGCAGACAAAAATAGTGCAAAATATGGATTTACGGGATTACACTTTTCGTCCTTATACGAGAATATTTTTCGGTACCTTTTCAGAAAGAGGATAGTCAAATCTGGCACGGTGTGGTCATTATTTCAATCTAAACAATCTGTCTTGGATATAAAATCTGTAATTTTTCATCCATATTATAACGCTCATATTACTAAATGTCAGCATGTTTTGATTAATTAATGACCAGACCGTGCTAGATTTGACTTTCCTCTTTCTTAAGAGGTACCTAACAATCGGAAAATATTCTCATATAAGGACGAAAACTGTATTCCTGTGAACCCATATTTTTGGCTAATTTTGTGGGTAACGTTGACAGCCTGCCTTATCGCGCTGCCGTTGGAATCTACCCCCTTAATACGTGGCGAACATTCGAGACTCGTGTTCTAAAAATATCTGGAATTCGCGTGATCTAAATACTTGATCCTTTAAGCGCCGGGGAATAAGTAGAAAAGTACGTTATTAGTCAGACGCGGCAGAGTAAGCGACCAACCTACGGCGTTTCTTTAACTTGCACTGAATATATTTGTCTGTTTTAACGACAACCACTAAAATTTGCAGTTTCATACACAAAATAAAAACAAATAATGCATTACTAAACGTTTGATTCCGCAGGGCCGTGGATTTCATATCAATTAATTGAAATATTCAAGAGAAGCGAATGCACCATTTAATAGAAACGCGCATTTTGTACAAATATTACGTTTTCGTGGAATTGTTTACCCAGCTTTGAAGCCGCGAGTTATTGAATGTGAAAAATACTTTCATTGAAATTTGAGCTGATAACGTTATTTAATATACTTTTGTCTTTCATTCGTTTTAAAACGTTACTGGACGGAACGTAATATGCTGGATAAACGTAAAGGGAACTGCATTTAAGCTTGCAACGGAATATATGTACTCATACATAGAATTGGTCTGTCGACAGACGTGGACCAAATACGTCCCGTTTTAGCTACTTCTAGGTCGATCGAAGGAATCTCGTCCTTTTCTACTTGACATCCGAAGCGTGAAAATAATCACGAGAAATCGAAGTCACCGTTACTAATTATTATTATAAACAATTCTCACGCGCTGCTATTTTCAATCAAAACAAGCTGATCCGAGTTTACAACATTAATAACAAGAATCTACTTGTCGATTAATCTTCGTTACGCGAAATGTGTAATGGGACAGGGATACGTGAATGAAAATAACCTTTAGCTTCAAAGGATCACGCGGCACGGCAATAAATCAGCGATACAAAGTTAGGATCCAATTGAATTCCGACGATGTCACGGAGTCGTGTACGGAGTCATGGTCGCAACGAGAACTATGCCGCGACCATCATTCACCAAAATCCGATTGACCGGTTGACCCGTGCCACGAACAACAAGTGACATATTTGACAGAATCTCAAAATGGGAATTGGAAATTAAATGATAATCAGTTACAATATGAATAAATGCTGCTTTTTTTACTCACTTAAATAAAAAGAAAGTCGAGTACATAATTGAATTTGATTCGATCATTACCGATTCATTATCTTTAAATCCTTTGCATGGGAGAAAGGAGAAACATCTAAAGTAAACGATAATGAGAATTATTTTAAAGCGACCCAAGCTATTCCTGCGAAATTTTTTATCACATTTCTGCCATATTAGCAAACAGAATTTTTCGAATCGTTCCCTATAGTTCCTAAAACGTCCCACTGAGAGTCGTGAAAATGCCACAGAAAATTCTTGCTAAAACATTTTCCGCAGTAAATGCGATCGAAAACGGGAATAACATTCTTTCCCTCGTTCAATCTGTCCTCATTTTAGCTTAAATATAAAACCTAACTTGAGGTATTAGATAAATTTACTATATTTTTCCAAACATGCATTGGCAGTTCTGTTCGGGACTCGTGTCATCCGAACGTGATTATAACGCGACAAAGCGATCCGAAACAAGTGAATCATTTAAATTGAAAAAAGAAACAAACTCGAACAGCATATTTGCTCGTGTCCATGAAGCTAATCCGATGTCCTCCCCTGAGAACACGAAACAAGGCGAACAAGACCTGTGTTCAACCGTGGTAGGAATGTTTCATATTTATGAATATGTTTTCAAAGGCCGGCTTTCTTTCATATCCGCTTCGTGCGACGATTCTTTTTACCTCCCGACGTTTGAAACGGGAGAACCTCACACGAATTACATATATTCCACCGGGTCCGGACATTCCGGACGCGACGATGCGAACGGTTCCGTGAAAAATGTTGGACACTACATTGCGTGCGATAGTCATTCGGTAAAGAGATATCTAGAAAACGTGGTCAGCTTAGTTGTCAGAAACGAGACACTGTATTTACCTCTGGAAACGTTGATGCGTATCCAGGTATTTTTGTACAGAATTTCGTACATCCGTTTCTCGGGAACACGAAAGAGATATCCAAGGAAACGTAAAATTCTCATGCAAAAGTAGCAGCGTTGTTACGGTTGTTGAACAGAACGTTAAGAGAAGAGACTGTATCATCGATCCCTGTTTCCTGCTAGGAAACTCGTACGTTCTAATTACGGTGCAAGCGAAATTACTGCGGGCAAATCATCGACAAATTTCCTCGACACGGTTCTTCAAGCTGTGGGCTTCGAGCTCTGGTATCTCCCTGTAATACCAATTCATAGTAGATGTCGAACATCTATTAGCGAACTATTCGTTATTTCGCGAATGCTACTGGAGCAGCTCTAATTTTGGGATTGAACGTCGGATTCTCTGCATGTTAACGGCGTCGATCCGGTACGGTCACTGGGCCGTCGATCCAAATTGCTAGGTATAAAACCTGGCTTCGTTTTAAGACATGTACATTGTGTGTATAAATAGGAAAGAAATCCGCAGATACACGTATTTAATTATTTTATTTTTATAATCCATGTCAGTTTTCATATCTCGGAGGTACTTTTAATTTACGAATCCTGAGCTTTTACGGCCGGATTAGTAATTTTATGAGAGTAAAGTTAATGAAAAACCCGAGGAGGCATTATTAATTTTGAAAATTAACGAATCAGATAATAACTGGGAGCATTACATAATTCAACGCAGGTAAATTTTAAAATTTAATTAATAAATTGCGGGCTGCAGTTCGAACGGAAGGGGAAAGATTTGATTTGCATAATTAATAAGTTTTATTGGATAAATTAAGATCGAATATAATTTAAAAACATTGGCAAGAGATGAGGCTTGAATGTTTGATTCGGTTTTTCAGGTCTAAACGAAACGAGGATAAACATGTAGATCAGATAGAAAAACGCAAGAAAGCAAAAAAGAAAAGATGGTGGACACAGGGGAAATAACGAAGACACCCTCGCCCTTGAATATTAACGAGGCGATCGAAGGGGAGGTGCTGAATCAAAAGACTGCTAGAAGTAAGTAGAAGTAAAAAGGGAAAAGTGTTGCTAGAGAAACTTCGCTTTTCTTACCGTCTCGCTTAATTTTCTCTTCTGAGAAAATGGAGAATCTAAACCCCTATGGATCATGTTTTCCGTCAGTTCCACCTTTATCTTCGCGTTAACTAAGTGAACAAATCTTTAGCAACTTCCATTACATAAAACTGCTTCATGCTGTCTTTTTCATTATTTATAAAAACTTTTGCCAACGAAATATGAAGGAGAAACTTAAGAAAAGTGTTCATAATGCGATTATTAAAGATTTCTAACTTTCTTTTCTAAACACGTAATGGACTTTGCTTTGACTCTAATTGTAAAAAATAACTGGAGACACAGTTCGTTCGTTTTTACTTTAAAACGAATTCCGTACAACAATTTTGACCCGAATATACGTAGCATTTAATGTATTGGAGTGTGCGCGTGGAAGGTTAACATTATTAATAAGAGAATCTCATTAAAAATTCCTGTTTGCCAGTACTTAAGAACGACCTTCTGTTATACGAGGCTGTGATAAAAAATGAACCGGATACCGTTCGCAAAGTGCTCAAAGAGACCGTCGACGTTAATTCCAGGAATAATGTAAGTTATAAAAAAACTCCACTCGCGGTAGCATTAACAATAATTAGTAAGACTTCGTAGCAATCGTAAAAAGCTGAAAAACGATTCGAATAATTCCGAGTATGAAACTTGTCTGTTTTGATTTCCACTCACAAAAGGCAAGAGTAAAATGAGTAATTCGATATCCCGTTGTTTCAATGCTACATAATACCGCTATTTGGTACTGTAAAATTGTTTAGTACGGTCGAGCGCCAATTCACTGGGCAGCGTCCAGGGGCAACACAGAAATCATCGAGATGCTGATACAAGCGAAATGCGACATCGAGGCCAGAGACAAGGTAACATTTTTACACAACAATTTTATCGCTGAGACATATCCGTATTATATGAGTGAATTAATTAATCTGAGTCGACAATAGATCTGAGATAATTTCCACGTTTCTGTATTTCTAATTTCCGTCTCCGTGAACACAGAATTCATTTGCCGAGAATGTAATTATAAGGATCGCGGTGGTTCAGATGCATGTAAAATTCAGTCTAATTTTCTGAAGTTTAATTTAACTTCGTACACCGTGTTTCAAGTTCGGCATGCGCCCGTTACATATGGCTGCGCGGTATGGACATAGAGATGCAGTGAAAATGTTAATCAACGCCGGAGCGAATGTATCTGCTGTGAACAAGGTACATATGAATAATTGTATTGATCAGTTGGTAAATAGAAGCGTTTAATTGATTCGGAAACTTTCGAAGGGAATGGAACTTCGTTCGAAACAAATTTAACCCGCGGTTAAACGAAATATTAGCGAATCGTGCCATCGAATCAAGATTTTTTAAATATTCTCTCTATAGATAAAAACGTGAGCATAAAATCGTGCTCCTATTTCGCGACAAGACTCTTTAGAAATCATGGAGAAACAATTATTGGATATCATTTTCACAGACGTTTCCTATTCAAAACGTGTTCTATACATTTCGCTTTGTTCCGCGACGAACGTCCAGAAATTTTCGAATCGAAGATGCAGCGAGATAACGTTGCAACGATATTCGTCGGAGAGCAATATAACGGATAGATAACCGAGGGCCTGTATGCACAGAAACAACACACTCTCTTAATGTGCGCCGCTCGAGGCAACAACGTTCGCGTCGTCGAGTATCTCGCGGAAGCTGTAGAATCGTTGAACGGGGATGCAGTCGACAGCACCGGTGCAACTGCACTTCATCACGCGGCTAGCGCTGGTCATCCGACTATGATAACGACGCTTTCCAACGTGCCGAGAATCGAGTTGAATGCCATCGACAAAGTAAGAACTAAACCTAATGCCTATCAAATTTATATTCTCTAAGATAAAGAGAATTACACAAATATTTATGTACATTTTCAAAAATAGTATCAAAGGATTAAAATATTACAGTATTTTCACTATTTTACTACGCAGTGTTTATATGAAGATTTCTAAATTATTTACAATGCCACACGTAAGACTTCGTTGACTGACGAACTTTCAGAGTTATAAAAATATTCTGCTCAGGGATAGTTTATTCAGTACGTCATATGATATTAATCTGCCACAAATTGATGCGAGAATGCAAATCTCTACACGCAAACGGATGCAAGGGACGCAAGAAACTTCAATTTATGTGGAAACTCTCTCTCTGGTCTGCTTTGCATCCCTTTCCTCTCTTCCTCTCTCTCTTGGAATCCCTCTCTGGCTCACGATTTAGATACCGGGAAACTAGGTCTCCAACATTAGCTATGTTACCTTCTTATCGCGAGGACAAGTGAAATCCCCGAAGGAGAGAGGAGTTGCAACTACATGAATCTAACTGTAAGACTTTAAGGATGTATTGGCTATACAGTCAATCCCAAAAGTTTATGTACCTTAGAAAAACGNTCCTTCTAATTTCGATATTTAACGAGTTACGTATGATTATTTGGCATTTTATTGATGTTGACAAAATCCGACCATCCCAGCGTCGAAACGGCGAACTTTTGGAAAAAAATTTCGTTTTTGGTCAATAACTCCCGAACGGGTGGACGTAGGGGGCATGTATAGGACCATTTTGTAGGGGACGACGAGATCTAAAATTTCTGTATAAAAAATTCTATCTTTCTTTAATAACGTTCGTTCTTTTAATAGAGCGCCTTAAAAATAAGAATGTTGGATTCGTAGAAAGGGCAAACACCGTTGCACTGTGCCTGTGCGGAGGAACATCTAGAGGCTGTGGAGGTTCTAATAGGACTCGGAGCTAATGTAGACGCACAGGATAACGAGGGGAACACCTCGCTTCACGTGGCCACACGAACGAGGCACACTGCGATAGCTCAATTACTATTAAGGACCGGAGCAAACACTGAATTAACAGACGAAGTAAATGACAATATACTCCGGTAATAACGTCCCACTAATTAATGAATGAAACGAGTCGTCCGTTTTAGATGGGTTTCACTCCCCTTCACGTGGCCGCCAGCCAAGGCTGCAAGGGGATATTGGATTCGATGATCCAGCATGGCGCGGCACTCAACAAACAATGCAAGGTACACTTAAAGTACGTTTACTTGGAATCGAATAACTATCCATCAACGTAAATCGGCTTACAGTATGGGAACACACCTTTGCACTTGGCCTGTCAGAACAACGAAGTAGAGACGGTCGAAATATTGATTAATAAGGGCGTCGATCTAAATTGCTTGAACACGGTAGGTAACACGAAACTTTTATTGGCAACCAAAATTTCTCAAAATTCTTTGACGCGACTCGTTCCAACACTTTTTGCAGAGATTACAGTCGCCGATACACATCGCTGCAGAGATGGGACACACAGACATTTGTGAGCTGTTGCTAGCAGCAGGTGCGAATATCGAGCAAAGGGAACAGGTGAACACTGATCGTACACCACTCCTTTACTTCCGTCCTATTTACTTAAAAAAAAAATCTCTCGCCTTTTCCATTTGCTTCATTTTTTAACTTTAACATTTGCCGGAGAGTACGTGGTATTAGTCGGAATCTACCAACTCGTTAGAACGGCGAGATCAACAGAAGAGAGTTACCTCGTTGCACGCGTGGGTGTAATGTAACTGATTCTCCTTACGCTTCGACGTATCAAACTTCGTCTGATGCTAAACGATACCGTAGCTAGTAGCTATTTCATCGGTAAAGTTTCTCGAAAGCAATCAAAGTAGGCGGTCTCTTTGCACCGAGTATGTTAACTCCGGCTTAACACGAGTGCGACGAGCTGACACAGTGAATAGGTCCTGCCTCCCCGAGTAGTTTGCACGGGTTGCGCGTCGAGTGTGTTGCAGCGTGGCGGTGTACGCGATGTCCTCAGCAAAATTTACGGGAACGTCGACACGGCCAACGCCTGTGGATTCTCTTTAATAAAGTTAAAGCGAAGTTGTTCCGGGTGTTCGCAGAGCGGCAGAACGCCACTCTACATCGCGGCGAGGGGCAGTTTCACGGCCATCGTCGACATGATAATCAAAACCGCGAGACTCGATTATCCAACACCGGTGAGGAATTCATGTTATAATACGCGTAGTACTAGAATATTCATTTCATCGGGTTACGTTACGTATGTTACCTTTTAATAATTTTTTGTGCGAAAGTATGAGCTGTTAATAAACTGAAATTTTAAACAGCAAGCCAATGGCTTTTACGATGTTCTAGTACTTAGGATGTTAGATCTTTACAGGAGGATTCGACGTCCGATAAGGAAATCCGCGACCTGACGCCGGCTAGAAGAAGATGGCGAGAGGGATCGAGGGGTGGAAGTATTTCAAGTAACAACAGCGCGCTCCCCGAACAAATTAGATCGGTTTTATGGAAGCTGGCGTACAAGCAACTCGGACCCGAGGACTGGAAAAAATTGGCCCTCCATTGGGCCTTCACGTTGGAGCAGATCCGTGCGATTGAGCACCAGTACACGGGTAAACGTTCATTACTATCGACAAGTCATAAACGAGTAAAATGTTTCTTTTTTCATTTATTCCGATAGAGAAATAAATTTTGAAAGTGTTGAGATTGTGCGAAGTGATCGAGGTACAGAATTCAATTTACAAGATATTGTTAAATATGATATAGATGAAGTTCTGTTCTTTCTCTATACATACATACTTATATTGCTCCTCAATGTTCCCTACGAAACCCGAGAACAGCCTTATGAAAAGGACGATAAAGCTCCTCTTCTAGGTCCCTCGAGTTACAAGGAGCACGGTTTCCGGATGCTGATGATCTGGGTGACGGGACTGAATCCCGATGCCTCAATAGAAAAAGAGCTTTGCGACGCTTTGTCAGCAGTGGACAAAAAATCCGTTGCCGGTGAGCGGCTTAGTGAGAGGAATCTGCTCTTTGAATAATAACGAGAACAGAATCATTCTTCAAGCATTGATTTCAGAATCCGTTCGTAAGCATTTGGATCAGGAGAAAGATGGGAAGGAGAAGACGAACAAGCAGCGGTGTCACAAATGTTCCATCGCGTAAATCTAGTTCAATACCTTCGACTCGCTTCAAGGGCGGAACTAAATCTAAACAATTCGGGGAACTTTTAGAAGACAATTCCAGCGACGCTCGAAGCGTGACGTTTTAGAATAGAGGCATAAATCTTTTAACTTTTTGTACAGTATGTTTTAATACACCGTCACGTTTTCTAGCGAAGTAGTAGATACGAAAAAAAAATTGTCAACGAAACAAACTTTCATCTAATCAACGAAAGCTTTTGATGTACAGCGATAATTTAAACGATGAGACGTAAATGAATCACACGAACGTACAAATTGTGGGCTTTGATTATTTTAAGTGAACCAGCAGATTGTTCCTGAAAAATACCAGCTTTTTATAGGACGAAGTAGTCAATCTTTATTTGACTTGAGAAAAGTTGAGGGCCGTCCTGTTTCATTTCACTTTCAATTTAATATTTGTTCAGTTATCTGATCAAATCGTATTATGAATTTGAATTATGAAACATGCAAATGATATATGTATAATACGTACCTTGTTCAGAGCACGGTCGTATGTCCAGAGTAATTACGATGACGAAGGCGACGTTTCACAGGGCTTTTGATGTGATAAAAGACAGTCTTAGAAAAAATTAGATACAGAAAAAGAGAGAGAACGTATCTCGAAGCTTTGTTTAATTCGAGAAAGACAATCTACATATCCGAACACCGTGTACAAAATAAATAAGTGCGTAATTAGAACTATATACATATACGTATAATGTTAAATATTGATACTTTTAAATAGTCGTATCTCGTTCAATCATCGGCAATGTTAACGCGCTCAATAGAATTATTCATTCAAAGGAACAAATTGAATATAATTTGTATCTCTCAACGAATTTTAACATTGAAGATTATAGTATTAACTTCTTACCATGCTACGCATACTTGAGCTCAGTGTAATAAATTTATTCCATCTACAATTTTAACGTCTATTTTTTTAGCACCTATAAATTTTAGTACCTCAGAAAATATAATTATCAATTAAAAAATGATCATACCTCGGTACTTCCTGGATTGCTTGATAACTAGATGACATGACACAGAGATGGAACGAACAGGAAGGCTGTACAGGATAAGGATCAGGTCCTAGAAATTCTGAACAGAGTGTTCTATTAAAATGTGAATGTTTATTAATCTATACGGAATATTAATTTGCTACTACGCTATAAAAGAATGCATTCCTTATTGCTTCCACCCTCGCAATATTATATATAATATATATGTAACAAAATATTTTGAATGACATTTGTCACCATCAGTATATCGTTATTAATCAGTAATATTTATCAGCGGCGATAATAGAAACGGGGCCTCGAGTGCCGTCAACGGCATAGTCGTGTTCGTAACGTATTGTACCGTGAATTCTATAATATAGCAAATTTGTGTAAGATTTCTCTCTTAATCCTTAAACATTACAATTAATCGCTAATTGATGATTATCATCATCATTACGACGAGCATCGACGTATCGCGCGACTCCATCCATTCATGCTTTCGTAAAATATCATTCATTAATTTTCCTTTCTTTATTTTAATCATCTATTGTTTGTCCACATGCAAATGCCTGTACGTGAAGAGAAAATAATGCCTTATTCCATCGAGAAAAACAAGTACGTGCGCCGATGATCTTTTTTCCTTTCCTCGTATCTCACTGTGAAAAACACCAGTGAACTGTCTGTGTCGTTTGGATTCATTCTTATCATAGGAATTTCCTAGATAATAATATTAGTCTCGCAGGTGTGTACAATTAACAGTGTACAATTAATACGTTACAAATCGTCGTTTAACTGCGCGTGAGTTAAATAATAATGAAATCCGCTTACTGTTAACTCGTTTAACTTACACATTATTCTAAACGTGGACGAAGCTGCTAGGTTCGCGTAGGAACGCGTGGCAGAATTGTTTTCCCGATCGATTTTTACGTGACTCGTTTGCCCCATTCTTGTTGGCTCACCACTCTCGGACCGTGAAAAAAATATATTCCGTCTCTTTATTTCCTCGTTCCAACCCTAATACATATGCGAGTATCTCGAACTCTGTTCGAACCGAAAGCCATAAGGGGATTGGGATCACTCTTAAATATAATATATGTACGTGGTTATACTGAGTATCACGCATAAAACAATTCACTTTTCGCTCGTTCTCGATATACCATACACATAATATATATATGTACATATATATTATGATATATATATATATATATTTTTGTATAATATGAAAAGAGGAAAATTCTCAAAGCGAAGAAGAAAAGAGTGAAGATCCAAATAATACGCAAAAAAAAAAATAGTATACAACAGACACCACAAATGGGAAAGAGAAGAGTACAGATGTAAAACGCACAACAAAAAAAAAAGAAGATACAGAAAGAGGTGAGGGAGAGAAGATTTAATCAAGGACAATGGGCCTTTTTAATCATTTAAATTAATAAATTGTGAAAAAAGTGTATCCCTCAATAATAGCGACCCGTTAAGCGGTGACCGCTGTTAAACGCGCATTTCCGGTTCTTTTACCTCAAGTCCCAGCCTCGCGTCATCCAGTCAGAAAAATGAACAGGACGTCTAGGAAATAAACTTCCTACGGCAGAAATTGAAAAAAACAAAGAATTAGGTTTTTGTCGACTTCTTTTTTATTGATTGGTCGATCGCGACTATTAAATTAAAAGAATGTATCAATCAAACAACAATATCGTTGGATTCAAATGATATGTCATAAAGTAATTTCAAAGCGACGGTTCAATTTCATCATTCTGTCCCGTTACTAATTTTGCAATTGCTTGCATCTGATCAAATAAAGAGGAGAAAATGAAAAAAGAGGACGGCGCCAAGAGAACTGATAGGTCATGCGTAAAAGTACTTGATCGCTCCTTATCGTTACCATAAATCGACAATTTTTGTATAAAAAAAATATGCTTAAATCTAAACATTACAATACACACGCATTTCGTTTTGGACGAACTACTCAACAAACAAACATTTAACTTCTTTAAATACCTATCTGTCTAAAATTGAAACTCATTTACAACGGTGAGATTTTTCATCTTTCAGTTCCTTTTCGTAAAATAAACAGAGGACTCTCGATCGACCTGACCGAGGTGTTCACGCGCATCTTCCTTCGAAGATAAATTGAATTTAACAGTTCGGTCGACACAGCCTGACCGAAAGTAATCGCTTATCCTTATAAAAAAATATCTTAACAATCTCCTTGCTTCTTATTTTAGGGGTACACTACGTTATCCTAAAATGAATGTGAGAGAACTATAATCAACGATGCCGTCTTCGCGTCGAGCTCGCTAGTCGCGTAGAAAAATTGGTCCTCGATTCATTTTTACCGTGTACGCATCGACAAGCATCCCATCTTCCTCTTCCCAATGATCCTTCCCCGGCAGAAGTCCCCACGAACGTTTTCAACGTCCGCTTCGCAAACATGCGTTTCTTTTCCACCCGTGGGCCAGAAGTATTGCGAGTTCGTTGCGACGATCTCCTGGGACTGTTTCTATTCCCGTCCGCCTCGAATTGCAAAAAAGTGAAAAGCCGAGAAAAACCAATCGATCTACGCTCCGGTAGGTTCGCAAAAAGAAAATATCGTCCGGGATATCATCGCTCACATCGATGCTCTTTTTTTTCATAAAATAACCGGCGATTAAAAAACGTACAAAAATCTTGCTCTGTTACAACATCCGCTGGCATATTCACGTTGGCATGCGCGCACGGTCGCGAGAATAGAATATGTTCAGCGAGTGGCATTCGAGTTGCGATCGATGATCAATAAGGGAAGAAAAGCGGAACCTCGCGCGAATCAGCGAGGCCTTCGGACTCTCGTCTGAAATCCGTTTTCTAGCGGCGGTAGGGATGGTAATTGTTGGAGCTGGACGAGGGTCCTGGATAACCCCTTTGGGGTCCACCGCCGTTGTAGTTGTTGATTCCTGAGCCAGCGGGAACGTTTCCTAGTCTCGAGGGTCCAAATTCGGTGCCTGTTAGAATGGTATAAAAGAAGGTAGTACTGTGTGCCAGGACGCAGCCCGGGAAACGCAAGGGCTCAGGGAGATAGTACTCTGATAGCAGAGAGTACTGGTCCGTGTAATCGCTGACGGACGACCAGGTCAGCGATGATACTGAACGTGACGGTGATAATCGAACAGGTCGACCGCATAACGGAATTGATCAAGAGACCGGTCGACCTCTTCGATAATCGATACGAAGAAGTATCTCACCGAGTACCAGGCCAAACTGTAAAATGACTTAGAGGCCACGCTGCGATGAAGGAGAATTATTCTAAAAGAAAAAAACTGGAACGAAACGAAACTGCGGATTAAAGAGGCCACGCGACAACGGAATAAATCCATCTCAAATCGGGATAATTGACTTCGATCGACGCGCCAGCGAAACTTAAATAAAAATGACGAAACGGTATCGACAACGTAAAAGGGGACTGGAGATGTAGAAAGATCGATCTCTCAGCAGAAATCTTGATAAAGCTCTGAAAATATATTTTCTATAAGATTTGTTAAAAGATTCTGTATTAATATCACCGACGTACTAGAATTAACTGTCACTAATACATCGTAGAAAAAAATAAGAACGACGGTGCAACAAAAAAATAAATTCTATCAAAAATGTCTCGTAACGTGCAAGTAGGAAAAGCTTATATTACGTCCTTAATCTTCTTACTCGTCTAGTGCTTATCGACTAAACACTGTCGACTTAAATATACGAGATAAAAACCAGGGAGTTATAGAATTCTCGTATTCCTGATCATTCAAACCTCTCTCACCCTCTTTTCTCTCCTACAATCTCCAGTACAAAATTTATTCTGTTTATCGCGGCCTTAATAATTAGTATAAAAGTACTTGAGTACTATTTATATGTCGCGTGCATCGAGCGCGCGCAACTTCGGGATTGATTAGAGTTCACTACCGAATACTACGTACAGAAAACTCCTGGGAGTTTTCCAATACTACTCACAGGTACGAATTTTAGATTGCGTTTTCCGGTTTGAACGACACGTCGATGCGAAGGGTGAATGCAGTTTAACGGAATTTAATCGAGTTTTGACGGCATAATAAGGAATGTTAATTGATCTCGAAAAACATTTACACAATTTTAAATTGAATCACGACGAGGACTCTAAATTTCAACCTAAAACTCGGCTACTTCTAAACATATCTAAGGACGATAAACACCATGAGTCTATCCCTTGTACTAAATTTACAAGTATAAATTAAAAAAAAGAATCAAGAAAAAAATAACTAATAACTTAGACGTTACAAATCTAAAAAAGGTCTCGCGATAAAATTTATTATAAGTAGCTTAACAACGGATCTAAGTGGTAAGCCTTAAGTAATCTTAATTTTTAAAAGGACGCATGCTTGCACACCCGTCACTTGCACGTAACTTATATAAATTCTTAATAGATAAATTCGTCTTACGGGCTATTTACGAAATTATCGTCCGGGCCGGACGAGAAAAAGGTGACCACTATAAAAGCAATTTTACGTTAATAATATATCAAAACGTGGACGTAAATTCAACCATAGGGAAGCAAAGAGAATGGTCGGCCCACTATCCACAAAAACGTCGTTTCGACCGCGTTTCGCTATCGGCAATCTATCGTCGTTTTTCTTTCACCTGACAACCTCTTTTATTCCTCCATCACAGCGCCGCCAACCTCTCTCTTCTCTATTGTCGTACGTTTTCTCATCTTTTTTTAGGAACCTAGGGTCTTTCATCTGTGTATCTTTGGTTTGGCCATATCGGTTATTTCTTAGCGTCTATAAGGATGATAATTCGTGTGCTGGGTCAGGGAGAATCGTTGGGGACCTGGGGCTGCGTCTCCGTTCGGAATGAAAGTCGGGCTGCCAGTTTCGGTGTTTTTGAACTTTGGGATCGGGGCATTGTCTGCGGGAAATAAAGGAAGAAATTAGGTGGTGCGGGCCGCCCCTAAAACGCCCTCCGCCAGGCATCGAAATACGAGTGGAGAACAACATTGTGCAACGCGAAAGTATCAACGGGATTTCCGACGGTTTTGTAGAGCGCAGTGAAAACCATCTGCACTTTCATAAAAGCTTAAAATAAATACGTACGGATCCCATAGAGAGACTATTCCCACGAATGGAAAAATACTCAAGGGGCAGGTAATTTAAATCTACGCGAGACGTGTTTCGCGTGTTGCGAAATTATTCAAGAAAAGCTGTCAATTGAAATATGATTAAGCAACGATGGTTGGCCCCTAAAGTACTGAAGACCACCGAGCCACCTCGAACCTGATCATTCTCCGATTTATCGAATTATGCAACGGTTACAGAAACAGCAAATTGCACTGTACAGCGAATCTAATAAATTGACCAGTTTCGAGGCGTGGTGAGTATGTTGGGACGCGCATAAAACACTGCACCAATAAAAAGACTACCCGCAACAGCGGAAACAATCATGTAAAATAACAAAAAATGTTTGAAACAGTGGACCACCTCTGTAATTCACGCATTTGTGGCGAACAAAACCATTTACATCCCCGTGCGAGTTGTAATGAACCGAAAAAAAAGGAAAACCAAATAGGAACCAGCAACTGAAATTCACGTAAAACTTTCAATGAGCTATGCAAAATAATTTAAAAAATTGCAATATTCCTCGTGTCTTTTATACCAATTGTAACAGAGACGACAAAAAGAAAGTAGAAGGAACTAGTCTGCAGAATTGTCGTTCAACAGTTGCTTGAGCGAATAATAGGAAGGCGTGGCTACCGAAATATAATTTAGGCGAAAAAGGAACTCGCACTCGCATGCTCTCGCTCTCACTCTCATACTCATCCACGCACATAATGTGTCGAACGAATAAAAAAAAAAAAAATTAAAACGTAAAGTTCCATACATTCCTCTTATTCGGCGCATGTGCAAAAAGAGAACGATAACTTCATTGACCGTGCAGTGTTTTAAGTCTCTCAACCTCTTAAGTAGGCACTATGTAATAAACTTAACTACTTAATACGAAAATTAATTTTAAACGAAGGGAAAAGATAGTCTGGATTTTAGATTGACAAGATCCATAGTTTTTCATCAATATCATTTTCTATTTAATCATTTTCATAATCTATACCAGTATATACTTTATGAATAATGATCCACTTTTTCTTCTATATTATCATCATAATAATTATCAGCATATCAACTTATCATTCATTATATGTATATGTATTTATATATAATTATATATATATATATATATATATTCATCATCATCATTATAATTGTTATATTAATATTATAATATCTTAAGTATCAATTAATCAATTAATCCACTAGAAACACCGTTAAGTATATTAATATATATATTTATATGTATGTGTGTATGTGTGTATTGATGAATAAGAATAGCAGTAATAATAATAATAATAATGACAATAATTAATAATAATAATAATAATAATAATCATAATNACTCGCATGCTCTCGCTCTCACTCTCATACTCATCCACGCACATAATGTGTCGAACGAATAAAAAAAAAAAAAATTAAAACGTAAAGTTCCATACATTCCTCTTATTCGGCGCATGTGCAAAAAGAGAACGATAACTTCATTGACCGTGCAGTGTTTTAAGTCTCTCAACCTCTTAAGTAGGCACTATGTAATAAACTTAACTACTTAATACGAAAATTAATTTTAAACGAAGGGAAAAGATAGTCTGGATTTTAGATTGACAAGATCCATAGTTTTTCATCAATATCATTTTCTATTTAATCATTTTCATAATCTATACCAGTATATACTTTATGAATAATGATCCACTTTTTCTTCTATATTATCATCATAATAATTATCAGCATATCAACTTATCATTCATTATATGTATATGTATTTATATATAATTATATATATATATATATATATATTCATCATCATCATTATAATTGTTATATTAATATTATAATATCTTAAGTATCAATTAATCAATTAATCCACTAGAAACACCGTTAAGTATATTAATATATATATTTATATGTATGTGTGTATGTGTGTATTGATGAATAAGAATAGCAGTAATAATAATAATAATAATGACAATAATTAATAATAATAATAATAATAATAATCATAATAATAATAGTAGTAGTTACAGTATAGTAGTAGCAATAGTAGTAGTAGTAGTTGTAGTAATAGTAGTAGTAGTAGTAGTAATAGTAATGGTACAGTAGTACTGTTTTATGTGTCGTTTTGGGAGTGAGGGGAGCGGGTAGGAATAAAGTTTATATATTATAAATAGATAGTTTCATCGAGTAAAAATAAAGTAAAAATCAGTAAAATTCATATATAGAAATTCTGTCCTCCCCAATTAAACATTTCCCGACACCCTGATATCGCAATTCAACCCTTCTTAATTAATCTCCCCTTTGTCTCACTCTGAACACGATAAACATACATACATACAAACGCGAATCGCGGAGAGCTTTATTTCTTTTTTTATCGTTCTAATGAAAATTCTTGCATGCACGCAGTCTCTGGGATATTCTCTGACTACTCTCCGCTCCCCTTCATTACCTAGCCACCCAGTGTTGTTTCCCCTATTCATTCCCTAGTTCTGTCTCTAATTTCAATCTGCCCCGGTGGATAAACAATGAGGTTTACGTATCTGACACTTCCTTTCTCTAGCAACGTACACGAGTGGCAAGGGACATTGTTGTGTGTCTGTATTTTCTTTCGTTTACTCGTTTTATAATGGTTTAGCTCAGCGTTTGCGTAACTATTAACACCAAGAATCTACACGCAACGACATTCGACTTTATTCTTTGATAATCACTCTCTTTCTGGCCTTATCTGATTAACTAATGTCGCTAAAATTAGATAACGATGTTTAGTCCGCTATTAAACTTATTCCTCAAAACTTATTCGCTAGTCTCTGTTCTTTCTCCCTTCCCTCGTCACGTATCGAGTGTATACTCGTATACACCACTGGCGAATAAAATTTCCTAACAAGAACTAA